CGCTTCTGGCCACTTCTTTAGCCATTTAACCAAACATAATATCTACTTGACATACACACACATTTACGAATATATATTATCATCTGAATCCCACATAGACAAACTAGAATTATTATACACTTACATACATAGAGCAATATTTACAGTTTTTCAGTTAGGCATGGAATCCCTTACTTTCTTGAAACTTTGAATGGATGTGTTGTCTCTACTTGAATTCAGAATGCCTCAAATTATACTAATGTTGGTTTAAAAGAGTTGAATGTACATGAAATGTGATTGACCAATGAAAACCAAACAACACTAAAATAAAAACTACCAGAATTTCTTTCTTTTTTCTCCATATCTCATTCTGTGATGAAACTTTAATAAAAGTGAAACATCTTAGACTGATAAACATTTCCTATCTGTTTCTTTATCTTATCATTCTGTTAGATTCTGATCCATATTTGATCTCTTTCTCTCTCTCTATATATATATATATATATAAAACAAAGAAGTTTAGGATGGTTCCTCATACCAGGGACATGTTACTTCTGCTGGACTGGACATATATCAGCAGCATTTCAATGTAATACAAGAACAGGACAACCAATCCCTGACAAGAATGGTAACTGATGAGTTTCATAGTCACTGACTAACAATATGATTACTGACAACACAACATCAATTACTGAGACCAAGAATATTACCACTGGATTGTAAAAGCCTGGTATTGTGCCACTTGGTCAGATGAGTCATATTTCTGCAATGTAGCTTCACAGTGCTTTTCTATGAATACTTTCATTCTTTTTTTTTTTTTTTACAGCGAGTTTCACCCTTTACAAACCTTGGGTGCCACTCAAGGTAAAGGCTTACATATGGAGGCCATTTGTGTGTATAGGAGTGGAAGATAATGGTTAGTTTTGAACAGGTTAAGACTGTAATGATCAAAGAAACACCCAATTGGGAGTTGGTTACACAGAGCTGTTGTTTGCAGGAAGAAGCTGCTCAAGTGGAACCTACTTCTCACTGATAGAATAGAAAGGGAATGGTGGATGGTTTGCTACTATGTAACTGGCATAGCATATTTTTGCAGAGAAGGTTTGTCTCATTGAAACCAGAGAATATAGTTTGTCCACGCAATTTCCGTAGAAGTAATGCTATAGCAGCAAGAGGCTTGCCACATCCCATCTGTGGGAGAGAGGTTGAAGAGTGGAGAATAATTCATCACCCACAAGGGCTCGGAGACGCTTTAGAACTCTATTTGATTGGTGAGAGTTTGGGGTCAAATCAGTGATGATGAAATGTAACTAGCTTGGTCTTCGAAGCATTGAATGTAACCAACCAGTTTTTACTCCATTGGGTAGTTTTTGCAAGATCGGAAGAGTGATTAGTCACCAATCTCTGACCATTGAGATTTTTAGAGGTGTGCCTATATATAGCCGTATCATCAGCATAGATGTTTACAAATGATCTGAATATAATCTCAGGTAGATCATTTATGTAGATCAAAAAAGGGTTGGTCTGAGAAGTGACCCCTGCAGGACACCTGCATTGACCTCTTGGGCTCTGGAGGACTGGTCATTGATAATTATCTTCAGAGACCTATCTGTTAGGAAGGATTTTATGATGCTAATTGTTATGATGTACTTTCCTCTGTGGTACCTAAACTTTATGAATTTAAGTGCATTACTAGACTGGTGGCAAGGTCTCATCATTTTACAGTTGAAATAGTTAAATGTAACCATAAGTTTTATGTCAACAGTTTCTTCTCTCATACTTCTTACTTGTAGAACTCTCTTCCAGCCACATGCTTCCCAGTCAACTTTGATCTACAAAAATTTAAATGCCATGTCAATTGTTATCTTTTGTCATAATTCTTGTCCTTTTATGGTTCTCCTTCCTTAATACCAATTTATTTTTCTTGTATTCTCTCACACTCAGTAACCACCTACAACTTAGTAGGCGGTATTGCATTGTTTGAGGTGAAATAATAAAAAAAAAAAAATTGTTCCATTTCTCTTTTGTTCTGAAATATATCAGGAGAATTACAGAAGATATTCCAATATAACTCACTCATTCAATTTGAATTGAAGTGGAGTTATCCTTATTTACATTCAATCTAATATCCTCATCTTTATAGTTATCATATTTTAGCCATAAGATTTTACTCCTTTTTAATTCTTCACTACATCATTCTAAACAGTTTTTCTAACTAGAATCTATATAACACATTTATACAAAGTCAACCATTCATGAATGCATTTAATAATGTTATCATTATTGTTTGGTGTTTCTACTATATATTTGAAGATTTTAGATAAAATACAAAGAAGAATCTGCAATGTTATTGAAGCTGACCCAGTATTTCTGCTTCAGTCAATTTCCCATTGTCATAACATAGCTTTCTCCATGCCTTTTCTATAAATACTTTCATGGTAATTGTCCTGATGAGCTTTCTTGGTGCCTTGACTTTATGAATTTAAGTGCATTACTAGACTGGTGTCAAGGTCTCATTTTACAGTTGAAATGGCTAAATGTAATTGTAAGTTCTATGCTAATAGTTTCTACTGTCATATTTCTCACTTGTGGAACTCTCTTCCAGCTTCTTGCTTCACAGTCAACTTTGATCTTCAAAAATTTGTCTTTCTTGTATGTCTTTTTTTTTTATAGATGTGTGTAATGAATGTCAAGATAATTTTTTGGAAAAAATACTAGAAGTGTCTGGAGTTTTCTTACCTCTAATTTTGCTGTCTGCTAAAAGATAAATGTTACTACGGATATAAGAGAGATTTTCTCTGGTCCCAAATTAGAGCCTGTGTTAATGTATATAAAATAGACCAAACCCTGATATAAGAGAAACCCGGATATAAGAAACTTCTTCTCCGGTCCCGACAACTCTCTTATATCCGGGTTACACTGTATTATGTCCTGAAAAGATGAAAAATGAGATAAATTTTCATTGATGCACATGCTAATGATATGTCCGTGTGAATTGTTTGTCTGATAGTGAGAATGTCACATGTTTGTGTGCGTAGAGGAGAAAAGTTGGATCGATTCTCATTTGTTTAGAATGAGTGAAATAATGACAATTATAATTGTTATAATTATTTTAATATAATTATTTTTGATGCTGTAATTGATTTTTATTTATTTTTTTATGGGCACAACAAAGTGACAATTTTTTATTTATGTATTTTTTATGGACACAACAAAATTAACAGTGGCTTTACTATTAACAATAAAAAATTGGAAGTAACAAAACAATAAATGTAGATAAGTAAAAGTTTTTATTTCTCCATGAATTACAAGTTTCAATCATTTGCTTGATCTGGTGTATTGTGGGAGACTGCGAGCTTATTCAAGGTGTAATGTAAGGTAGTAGTCAAGATAGATAAGTGGTAGAAAATCAACATGCATATGTATTTGAGTGAGATAGACACGCAGGAGAAATATTCCACAAATTATCGCATTGTTGTAGTCAGAGGTTAGTCTTTACTGCTGCCAGTTTTATTGCTGGCCAAAGGCATCGTTGTTGATAGGAACAGCTTGGTGTTACTGCTAATTGCTGTGGTGTCCATCACTAATACCAACTGAGTTGGCTCTGCCTCCATGGATGAAATTGTCTTTATAGTGAATCAGGGCCTCAGAAACAGCTGCTGCAAACACCATATGGAGCTTTTCTGATTGGTCATAAAATATCTATTATGACCCTGGTATTTTTGGATGATATTTTGGAAGTGGATGCACAGAGATGGACAAAATTAAGGTTTGAGGCATGTTGGAGTAATGGATAGCGGCTCGGATTGAGGAATCAGAGAGCCGAGTTCAAATTCCAGTCAAATCCATTACATTCACTTATATACTAATACCCTTGGGAAAGGTATGAATCCATCTCTTCTCCCCCCAGCTATGGGTAAATAGCAGGACAGACTGGGTTCTGTAGCCTTGGATGGCAACTAGTCTACCGCAGAAAGAAAAGGCAACCTACTGCAGGAAAAATTTTTTGTCTTCAGCATCTATCGAAAGATACATGATCGCCTAAGCATGTATTTTGCATGGCACATAACTAACTGACTGACTTTTGTCATATGAACTGGGAACATTCAACTAAGCACTTCCTTTTAATTTAAAGAATTGAAGTTTGGGCAGGATATGAAAAAACAAAGTTTGAAACTTACTAATTATTAAATCTAGAAGGTTAACCCAAACTTTTGGCCTATAGTGTACCCATGCAACGGCTCCACCATCACATAGCCTCATGGGATATCAGATAGCTGCCATTATTCAATCAAAGGGAGGAGCTAGATCTTATTTGGTAGATGTCTGTAATATTTTGATACTTTAATTTATATAAATTCAAGCAAGTACTGTTGCACCAGTTGCAGCAGTACCTTCAACAAAGCTCTCATCAAATAATAACCCTTGGTTTCAGGGTTACAACATAATTACCACACACCAAAGGAGGACCACTCAGCAGTACCTCACGATACTACCAGATTTTGTTGATTCTCTGTTTGTGGGAGGACCAAGTACAAGTCTATTCAGTCACTTTTACAATTATAAAGCCTATCTACTTTGATATCAATCATAGATCAGATATATCAAAGGTGAAGTGAGGAATATAAACTAGTATCTGATGACAACAGAATAAGTATTTGTTATAAAACCAAGATTTTTACCCACCACCTCATCCCAACATTCACTATTAAGTATGCAACATGGAAAAACCAATGAAATAAAACTGAAGAAATAATTTGTATAATTAACAAAAAAAAGAAATGCAGCTGGTGGATAATCAGAAAGCAGTCTGACAACTTCTTCTATCCCTCAGCTGAATGTCTAACCCATATGAAAACTGATCTCAACTTCTTCTGTCCCTCAGCTGAATGTCTAACCCATATGAAAACTGATCTCAGCTTCTTCTGTCCCTCAGCTGAATGTCTAACCCATATGAAAACTAATCTCAACTTCCTCTGTCCCTTTGCTGCATGTCTAGCTAGTATGACAACTGGTCTCAGCTTCCTCTGTCCCTCTGCTGGATGTCTAATCAGTATGACAACTGGTCTCAGCTTCCTCTGTCCCTCTGCTGGATGTCTAATCATGGCAACTGGTCTCAGCTTCCTCTGTCCCTCTGCTGGATGTCTAATCAGTATGACAACTGGTCTCAGCTTCCTCTGTCCCTCTGCTGGATGTCTAATCAGTATGGCAACTGGTCTCAGCTTCCTCTGTCCCTCTGCTGGATGTCTAATCAGTATGACAACTGGTCTCAACTTCCTCTGTCCTCTGCTGGATGTCTGACAACTGGTCTCAGCTTCCTCTGTCCCTCTGCTGGATGTCTAATCAGTATGACAACTGGTCTCAGCTTCCTCTGTCCCTCTGCTGGATGTCTAATCAGTATGGCAACTGGTCTCAGCTTCCTCTGTCCCTCTGCTGGATGTCTAATCAGTATGACAACTGGTCTCAGCTTCCTCTGTCCCTCTGCTGGATGTCTAATCAGTATGGCAACTGGTCTCAGCTTCCTCTGTCCCTCTGCTGGATGTCTAATCAGTATGACAACTGGTCTCAGCTTCCTCTGTCTCTCTGCTGGATGTCTAATCAGTATGACAACTAGTCTCAGCTTCTTCTGTCCCTCTGCTGAATGTCTACCCAGTATGACAACTCGTCTCAGCTACCTCTGTCTCTCTGCTGGATGTATAACTAGTATGCCAACTGGTCTCAGCTTCCCCTGTCCCTCTGCTTGGGTGTCTAACCAGTGTGACAACTGGTCTCAGCTTTCTTTTGCCCCTGCTGAATAACCAGTGTAAGGAACTCAGTTCTGTGTTCAATCTCAGACTAATTTCTATGGGTAGTATCCATAGAATAATTCCTAAGTCACAAAGATGGTTATCACTGAACTGTGAAGGCATGCACCCACCACTCCCAACCACAGACATTACACCAACCAACTTGGTTCTTACCAAAATCAAATATATCTTTTAAGATGGCTTGCTCACCAGCTGTGAAAATGCACCATTCACACCCCAATTATATACATGGTCAGCTTGCTTGTCTGATGAATGGACCTAAACTGTCTGCTTCACCTCTGTCACTTGTTTATCCAGTGTGGAGAATGACTTGGCATTCTATGTTCATACCCTGACCAAGCACTAAACATTTGACATTCCCTAATTAGAAAGCGACACAAGACAAATATATATATTGGCTCAAAGTCACTAATTAATTTAATTAATTTAATGAACAAAGAAATATACTCATAATATCAAAAACCTTAGTAATTGGCTGTTCCTATCTGAAGATAACACCTTTAAATTCCAAAAAGCCTTTTCCTCAAATGAAAGTACTCCACCTCCATTCCTGATACAGAAATATCTTGTAGGTTATTCCCACATAGCTTTGCCAGTTTTGCCAAAAATTCAATAGGTGGTGCTGTTAATCAGTTATAAAAACAAGACACTTTCTGTCCTCTTTCTCTTCTCTCTTTGTTTTGCCTAGCATCCTGTAGCAATGATATCCACAAGACCTTGTTCCCAAGCATGGAGATATTTTCCCCTTAATAAATGAACTTTCACACACACAAACACACATGTATATCACCCACATAATTGCTAACTTTTAATGTCATCTTTTTTTACACACATACTCATGTATTTTTTCTCTCTTTTTACTCAATTATACATAAACAAAAATATAAAATATTGCCTTGTTTAAATTCATTCTCTTTCCTTACACTTATCATTTCTATGTACAAACAGTGTTGCCAATGCTTTTAGTCTATCTAGGAGCAATATAAATGCAGAAGGACACATACCTGTGTTTTATAGATTACACAAAGGCATTCAATAAAGTACACCACAAAGACCTGTGGGAACTGCTAAGCAACCTTGACATATTTGGGAAGGATATTAGAATAATCAAGAACCTATTCTGGCAGCAACCCATCAATGGATTGAAAAAGAATTCAGCAGATGTACAAAAATAGAAAGGGGTGTAAACCAAGGATGTGTCTTCTCACGGGACTTATTCAACCTATACAGCAATGCAATTCCGAGAGAATTAGATGTCCTACCTGGATTTATTATTGGCTTTGACAGTCTTAACAACATATGCAAATGATGCAGTGTTCATAATAGACATGGAAAGAAAACTACAAATGCTCCTACAGAAGATAGTTAAGGAAAGCGAGAAGAAAGGACTAAACATAAACTGCAAGAAGAGAGAATGCATGGTCGTTAGTAAATGGATGAACCTAAAATGCAAATTACAAATTGGAGGTACCAAAATCAAACAAGCACAAATATTTAAATATTTGGGGGAATGGTCTAACAGAGGATGGAAATGGGGTGACATTGAAATCTGATGATGTATTGAGATAGCCAAAGATGCCTTCCAAAAGCTAAGCAAAGTATTAAGCGATAGAAAAACTCTTAGAAACAAAGAAAAGTGTACTGGAATGTTACATGATATCTGTCCCCCTATATGGCAGTGAAAGCTGGACAATCTCCTCAAAGATGAAGAAGAGACTTGAAGCAACAGAAATGTGGTTCTACAGAAGGATGATGAGGATACCATGAACTGAACATGTGAGCAATGGTAAGGTTTTAGAGAAAATGGAAACAAAAAAGAAACTAAAAATTAATATCAGGAAGAAGCAGTTGAAATTTCTGGGGCACATAATGAGGAAAGAGGGTTTGGAAAATCTGATACTCATAGGACAGGTTGAGGGCAAGAGGAACAGAGGATAACAGTGCATAACATACTTGATGAGCCTGAGTAAATGGATTGTGGAACAGGATTTAGGAGAAATAATGAAAAAATAAAATTTATTAAGATCTACAAAGGACAGGAAATTGTGGAGGGTCTATGATTGCCTACATTGTGAGGAGACACAGTATATAAAGAAGATGAAGTAATGCCTGCAACAATCTAAAGCCAATACTCTACTTGCAGTGACTATAAGTTTCACACAATGAATAATCTTCCAATCTTCTCTGAAGATCATTCATTGTGTGAAACTTTTCATCATGATGAAGGAGTGTCTTTAGAAATTTCAGAGTTATATTCCTAACCTAGGTTATAGGTGTGTTTTTTTGGGGTATCAGATTTCTTTACATGTATAAGATATTTAAGCTGCTTGAGTGTGTATCGTCTGGTTTTCTGAGAGAAAACAGATACTGTGTTGGGCTCTTGCTTAAACTTTTGAATTTCAAAAATATTTTTGGTTTATCTCGATTTGTGGGAAAATAGCTGGGTTTGTTTTTAATTTGGGACCAATCAAAAGGTTTCCCTCTAAATTCTGAGAAGTGAATCTGGAGCCTAAATAAATAGAGAACCAGGAATTGAATTCAGTGAGTCAACAAACAACTGCTGCATGAACCCAGGTCAGCTCAGTCAAGAAGAAAACAACACAGAAGAAATTTGATGACCACCAGATGAGAATTGAAAGGAACATCAAAGTCACTCCCACATCAAGGAAAATTCTTCAGCTGGTGTGATTGTTCTGTTCTTCGTTGCTACCACAAACTTTGCTTCAAAAATTATACCTATTCTTTGAAAACTATTCAGAGAAGTACTTTTCCCTTTCTTGATTTATTTTTATGTTGTTTACCTTTTCTGAGGACCTTATGCAGCATTGTAAAATAGGCATATTTCATTTGCATTGATTATTTTTACATACATGTTATTGATCATCATTTGGCACACAGAGCACTTAATTTATGTAATTTTTTCTTTTTTGTGTGTGAACAATAAATTTATTGTCTGTTTTTTAAACTCAACTTGTGTTGTCTGTCTTTGTTGTGTGCTCTTTTAATTAAATGCTACCTCAAACATTTGTTTGAACTATTTTTTTCATAGGATTTTCTTTTTTGTAGGGTTTATTTTTTTCATAGTTTTTTTTAACCAATAAAAATCCTTTACTTAGATTTTAAAATGCTTTGTATCCTTTTAAATTAAGGCATGTTTCTTGTATGTTTTTCCTAAAAATTAAAAAAAAGTTATTTGCTTCTTGGGCAAAAGTTTGCCCAGGTTGTTTTTTTTTTGTTGGCCTGTTGGCTGATTTTGGTTTATGTAAGTTTGTAATTATATATATATATATATATATATATATATATATATATATATATATATATATATATATATATATATATATATATATATATATATATATATATATATATATATATATATATATATATATATATATATATATATATATATATATATATATATATATATATATATATATATATATATATATATATGTATATATATATAATATAAAAAGTATATATTAAACACTAATATTCCATGGTCATAATTTATTCCATTGGAATCGTAAATACGATCCAAATCATCAGACCTACAAATTCAAAATGAAAACAGAAAAAACAACTCCAGAAATCAAAACAGAATTTAGAGAAAGTGTAAATATGAGGAGGAGGAGATGAAACCTTAACAGAGAAATTTTAGGAGATGGTGGGGGGATTTAAAGAGGAGAGAAAGAAAGTCGACGGATGTCTAATGCATAAAGATACATTTCGTGGTGACATATACACACCATAGACAATTAGAAGTTAGGATAGGAGGTGGGGAAAAAAAAAAAGAAAAAAAAGAGAAGAGAAGAGGTGGGGGAGAGAGATGGGACGAAGGAAAATAATATATATATATATATATATACATATATATATATATATATATATATATATATATATATATATATATATATATATATGTATAGGGTTAAGTAAATGAGATAACTAGATATTTTTCAAACAGTGTCTAGTGTTCAAATTTTAAGTGTACTTCAAATTCCCTTTTTTTCGCTTTTTTCTCTTTTTTTCTATTATTGACTCATACCTACGCCTCATTTCCTGCACTTAAACCCTGTTATTGCTCTAGTACTATTTTTGTGCTATTTTAATTTTGAACTATGAACCAGCATCCATCCCATGAGCTTTTGTATACTATTTTAAAAATGAACAATAAGCTATATCTCATGCCTGGTGACTTGGGTAACAAACGAGTCTCATCACACATCAAACGTTGGTATATGTGTATTTATTAATATATATATATATATATATATATATATATATATATATATATATATATATATATATATATATATATGTGTGTGTGTGGGATAGCAATATATAAATTTATATATTTTGAGAAAGGAGAAGGACAACTCTGAATTCAAAGCATGTGAAGAGTCATTTGAGGATCTTGTGGCATTGTAATAATCTCTGTATTTGGCCCTTTAAAAAGTGTGGATGGTTCTGCACAAAACCTTCACCACTATAATCAAATCATATGTGCTGGTGTCTGGGCTGTTGGTTCCTAGGAACTGAGCTGCTTGACCCTCATATGTCGAATATGACAGGAGAGTTGAATATATATGGGATAAAAATATATAAATTTATATATTTTGAGAACAATTTTGGAGGAAAGATGTCTAACAAAGTGGAAAATGTTTTTGTGTGACGTATTTTGTCCTTTAGGATTTTATTGGACTAAATTTCTTTACATTGATGCAACTACACATGCACAAATGATAGATGCTGGGAATTTTAAATTTAAAAAATAAGTTTTTTTTATGTGTGTTTTGGGTGTATAATCTAGCCATTTTAATTTAGATTTTTTTTTGTTTCCGTCACTTTTATTATTAAATAATATCCCACACTGTTATAATAGAAGATCTGCCAAGAATGGTAAAACATCAGGATACAAATTTGCTGTGGATGATCTAGCAATTAAAGCACTTTGTAAACATTTTCATTTTAGTGAATTGTTTTTC